TTCACCGCCGCCCGGTGGCCTCAGGATGACAGAGAACAGCGAACAACATTAATTTAAGCAGATATATATAAATAGCCAGAGAAAATTAAAGATTTATGCCGAACTTCCTCCTGTCAGCAGGTGGCGCTATAATTGTGACTAAAGATTGTTATGTAGATGCCTTCAGTAGAAGAGTCTTATCAACCGTGTGATTTTTCAGGCAGATCGGACATTGTTTGGCTGAGTTATAAGCCAAACTACCTTCTGCCAGCAGGTGACGCTATGACTGACTCAATTATGTTATGTGGATGTGTTGAGGAGAGGAATTTAATCAACCATTTGAAGTTTCAGGCAGATCAGAGATTGTGTGGCTGAGTTATAAGCCAAACTACATTCTGCCAGCAGGTGGCGCTATGACAGACTCAATATTATTATGTAGATGTGTTTAGGAGATGACTTTTATCCACAATGTACAGTTTCAGGCAGGTCAGGCATTGTGTGGCTGAGTTATAAGCCAAACTACCATCTGCCAGCAGGTGGCACTATGACAGATTCAATATTGGCTTTTAAATGTCTTCAGAAGAGGAATTTAATCAACCATGTGTAGTTTCAGGCAGATCAGACATTGTGTGGTTAAGTTATAAGGTAAAATTCCTTCTGTCAGCAGGTGGCGCTATGACTGTGACTCAATATAGGTATGGGGATATGTTCAAGAGGGAAATTTAATCAACCATGTGAAGTTTCAGGCAGATCGGACATTGTGTGGTTGAGGTATAAGGACTTACTGTTTCATGGCGAAGCATTGAGGTTTGTCATGCCACCACATACACGCCCCTCCGCAAAAACTCTAAATCTTCACAATATATATCATCGCTTGAGCTTTCAGATAACAACCAACCAAATTTAGTGCTGATACGAAAAAAATTTGTGGGAGGAGTTTATTACTCTGTAAATCATGTAATTTCCTGTGGCCAGCAGGTGGCGCTATAACTGTATCTGGATATTGGCATGTAAATGTGTTCTGGTCTGGACTCTTATTAAACGTGTGGATTTTAAGGCAGATCGGATAATGCATGCCTGAGTTATAATGACTTCCGGTTTTGTGGCGAATCATCAAAGTTTGCGAGGCCGCCACGGACACGCCCATCGACAAAAACTCTAAAGCTTCGCAATTTAACATCGCCAAGGCCTTTAGATGACAAAACCCAATTTTGGTGTCGATAGCATAAAATCCCTAGGAGGAGTTCGTTAAAATACAACGCCTGGAAATGGCAAAAATGCCACTTATTTGCCGCAGGAAGTTAAAAATATCCGACTTCCTGTTGGGTTTGAGATATGGCTCCAAGAGACTTTTTCGTATGTTTTGCCGTGTTTGAGGTGTGTGACAATTTTCGTGCATGTGCGTGATTCGTAGATCAGGGGCTTGTCCGTTTAATTTTTGTAGGTGGCGCTGTCGAGTCATTTTGCCATGCCCACTTCATTATTGTTATGGGGATGTGTTCAGGAGAGGACTTTTATCAACCATGTGAAGTTTCAGGCAGATCGGACTTTGTGTGGTTGAGTTATAAGGTCTTCTTATTCCATGGCGAAGCGTTGAGGTTTGTCATGCCGCCACGGACACGCCCCTCTGCCAAAACTCTAGATCTTCACAATATATCATCGCTAGAGCTTTCAGATAACACAACCCAAATTTGGTGCTGATACGAAAAAATTTGTGGGAGGAGTTTATTACTCTGTAAATCATTTCATTTCCTGTGGCCAGCAGGTGGCGCTATAACTGTATATAGATATCAGCATGTAAACGTGTTCAGGTCAGGACTCTTATCAAGCGTGTGAATTTTGAGGCAGATCTGATAATGCATGCCTGAGGTAAAATGACTTCCTGTTTTGTGGCGAATCGTCAAACTTTGCGAGGCCGCCACGGACACGCCCATCGACGAAAACTCTAAAGCTTCGCAATTTAACATCGCCAAGGCCTTTAGATGACAAAACCCAATTTTGGTGTCGATCGGATAAAATCCCTAGGAGGAGTTCGTTAAAATATAACGCCTGGAAATGGCAAAAACGCCACTTTTTCGCCGCAGGAAGTCAAAAATATCCGACTTCCTGTTGGGTTTGAGATATGGCTCCAAGAGACTTTTTTGTATGTTTTGGCATGTTTGAGGTGTGTGCCATTTTTCGTGCATGTGCGTGATACGTGGATCGGGGGCTCGTCCGTTTAATTTTTCTAGGTGGCGCTGTCGAGTCATTTTGCCACACCCACTACCGAGACCCATAATAAACGTAAATTTTCGCCACTTCTGAGGCGTGTGCAAAGTTCCGTGAGTTTTCGGGCATGTTTAGCCCCTCAAAATCGTGATTCATTCCGGAGGAGAATAATAATAATAATAATAATAATAATAATAATAATTAAAGCTGCAAGCAGCGATGATAGGGACCTCGCACCCGGGCTCACCGCCGCCCGGTGACCTTACGATGACAGAGAACAGCGAACAATAATAATATAAGCCGATATATATATAAAAAACCTAAGAAAAATACAGATTTATGCCAAACTTCCTCCTGTCAGCAGGTGGCGCTATAACTGTGACTCAAGATTGACATGTAGATGTCTTCAGGAGAGGAATTTAATCAACCCTGTGAAGTTTCAGGCAGATCGGACATTTTGTGGCTGAGTTATAAGCCAAACTACCTTTTGCCAGCAGGTGGGGTTATGACTGACTCAATATTGTTATGGGGATGTGTTCAGGAGAGGACTTTCATCAACCATGTGACATTTTAGACAGATCGGACATTGTGTGGCCAAGTTACAAGCCAAACTACCTTCTGACAGCAGGTGGCGCTATGACTATGACTCAATTTTATTATGTAGATTTATTATGTAGATGTGCTCAGGGGAGGACTTTCATCAACCTTGTGAAGTTTCAGGCAGAGCGGACATTGTGTGGCCGAGTTACAAGCCAAACTACCTTCTGCCAGCAGATGGCGCTATTACTGACTCAATATTGTTATGTAGATGTGTTCAAGAGAGGACTTTTATCAATCATGTGAAGTTTCAGGCAGATCGGACATTGTGTGGTAGAGTTATAAGGACTTCCTGTTCCATGGTGAAGCGTTGAGGTTTGTCATGCCGCCACGGACACGCCCCTCTCTGAAAACTCTAGATCTTCACAATATATCATCGCTAGAGCTTTGAAATGACACCCCTCAAATTTGGTGCTGATATGATAAAGTTTGTAGAAGGAGTTTGTTACAGTGTAAAACATGTCATTTCTTGTGGCCAGCAGGTGGCGCTATAACTGTAACTGGATATCGGCACGTAAACCTGATCAGGTCAGGACTGTTATTAAATGTGTGAATTTTGAGGCAGATTGAATAATGCATTCCTGAGTTATAAAGACTTCCTGTTTTGTGGCGAATCATCAAAGTTTGCGAGGCCGCCACGGACACGCCCATCGATGAAAACTCTAAAGCTTCGCAATTTAACATCACCGAGGCTTTAAGATGACAAAACCCAATTTTGGTGTTTATCAGATAAAATCCCTAGGAGGAGTTCGTTAAAATACAACGCCTGAAAATGGCAAAAGCGCCACTTTTTCGCCACAGGAAGTTAAAAATATCCGACTTCCTGTTGGGTTTGAGATATGGCTCCAGAAAACTTTTTCATATGTTTTGCCATGTTTGAGGTGTGTGCCAATTTTTGTGCATGTGCATGATTCGTAGATCGGGGGCTCGTCCATTTAATTTTTCTAGGTGGCGCTGTCGAGTCATTTTGCCACGCCCACTTCAATATTGTTATGTGGATGTGTTCAAGAGATGACGTTTATCAACCATGTGAAGTTTCAGGCAGATCGGACATTGTGTGGTTGAGTTATAAGGACTTCCTGTTCCATGGCGAAGCGTTGAGGTTTGTCATACCGCCACGGACACGCCCCTCTGCGAAAACTCTAGATCTTCACAATATATCATTGCTAGAGCTTTCAGATAACACCACTCAATTTTGGTGTTGATACGATAAAATTTGTGGGAGGAGTTTATAACTCCGTAAATCATGTCATTTCCTGTGGCCAGCAGGTGGCGCTGTAACTGTATCTGGATATCGGCATGTAAACGTGTTCAGGTCAGGACGCTTATCAAGCGTGTGAATTTTGAGGCAGATCGGATAATGCATGCCTGAGTTATAACGACTTCCTCTTTTGTGGCGAATCGTCAAAGTTTGCGAGGCCGCCACGGACACGCCCATCGATGAAAACTCTAAAGCTTCGCAATTTAACATCGCCAAGGCCTTTAGATGACAAAACCCAATTTTGGTGTCGATCGGATAAAATCCCTAGGAGGAGTTCGTTAAGATACAACGCCTGGAAATGGCAAAATCGCCACTTTTTCGCCGCAGGAAGTTAAAAATATCCGACTTCCTGTTGGGTTTGAGATATGGCTCCAAGAGACTTTTTCGTATGTTTTGGCATGTTTGAGGTGTGTGCCAATTTTCGTGCATGTGCGTGATTCGTGGATCGGGGGCTCGTCCGTTTAATTTTTCTAGGTGGCGCTGTCGAGTCATTTTGCCACGCCCACTTCTGAAGCCCATAATAAACGTAAATTTTCGCCACTTCTGAGGCGTGTGCAAAGTTGCGTGAGTTTTCGGGCATGTTTAGCCCCTCAAAACCGCGATTCATTCCGGAGGAGAATAATAATAATAATAATAATAATAATAATAATAATAATAAACGGAGCAATTCCAATAGGGCCTACGCACCGTTTCGGTGCTCGGTCCCTAATAATAATAAACGGAGCAATTCCAATAGGGCCTACGCACCGTTTCGGTGCTCGGTCCCTAATAAACGGAGCAATTCCAATAGGGCCTTGCACCGTTCGGTGCTCGGTCCCTAATAAACGGAGCAATTCCAATAGGGCCTTGCACCGTTCGGTGCTCGGTCCCTAATAATAATAAACGGAGCAATTCCAATAGGGCCTTGCACCGTTCGGTGCTCGGTCCCTAATAAAAGCCATCCGGAAGGAGAAACACTAAGCTCAGTTACGTATTTATGATATACAGTACGACAAACAATTAGCACACGACGACAACTAATATAGGGTGTGAGGTAAATGGAGTGTGTGGCTTCATGTGCGTGGCTGCATATGCGCTCGCGTGCGCTTTCTTGTGTGTGTGTCTGTACTGGTTTTGCTCATTTACAAGGGCAGGAATTTGTATAATGACAGTAGTATAACATAGTTGTACTCTTGTAGGGTGGTTTACGAGGACTTTTCTGGTCAATACAAATAAGTTCCACTTGTTCAGTTTCATAACACTTCTTTTGCATCATCACTTGTATTTAAGTTCCCTATTTACGGTTATTGTCTGATCTTAATTGGAGTAACTTAGCTTTGTTGTATTACTTTGTTGTTTGTCTGTTATTACCCGCTTTACTAGTAGTCTCTGTGCTCATATGTTTAGAAATAGTAGGCTACTGAATTGTGCAATAGTATCTATGCCAGATGTGCCCAAAACCTGGGGTGCGTTTCCCAAACAACTCGTGGCTGAACTATTATAATACGATGCGTCGTTTGGGAAAAGAAGGATGTAGTCACGAGTGTTTACCAAAACCTGTTGATTCTCCATCGCTTAAACCACGTTATTTATAGCGTAAAACGCCCACAATGATAAACTGGGTGGAGTAACTACTTCTTAGAGAAGAACCGCATCATTTATTTGGGCAAATTATATTGTTTTACACAAACATGCATTTGAAATATGAGCAATATTAGTTTTGGTAAAAATATGCACTCGCTTTCCATATTAATTGAATAATATGTAGCCTAAATGACACATATAGGACCTGTGTTTTCTTTACAAATATTATTAAGAACATTACATATTCTATTCTAAAACATAAAATCACTTACAAAAGCGAACATGTATTCTAATATCATATAAAAGTCATAAATAAATGATGATACTATTCATTTAGACTTGAAATTTAATATTTAGTATTTATTAGGAAATGAAACAAATCCTACTTTAATAATAATATTAATAAAACTAATGAGGATGATGATGATTGTTAAGTAGGATATTGTTTTTTTTGAAAAGTCTGCTTTTTCAATTTGACACATGCAAACCACTGCAGAAATGTTCTAACCAGCAGGCCTATGTCATATACAGTACAAATACTTAATAAATAACCTACTATAAATAAAAAACATTAACTTATGCTGTGTTTTTTGTTTTCACAAGCTTTGAGACTTAACATAAATTCTGTTTTTAAATAATAGGTGACCTATAGCTTTCGTCATGAGGCTGTGTTCAAAATGACATCAATGTTTTCAAAATTGTAAACATGAAGATCGCTAAAACTGAACTGTAGAAATACTTTGAAAGCAAATTACACCTAAGAGAGATGACTTTAATGCTTTTTTATTTTTAAATATTCCAAGTTTGAATTTTAGAATGTTCTAAATTATTAGGGCATAGGGGGGATAACTGGGAATAGAACACAGCTAGGAACTATGTTTCTAACTACAGCTCCAGAGGAGCAGTTGCAAGTGCACAAGTTTGCGATGCAATTTGCCAGTGCTCATTGGAACGATGGATTTGGGAAACGCCAAATCAACAAACTATGTTTGTAACGACCAAAGTTGTTACCTTAGTTAGCTAACGATGGTTTTTAGAAACGCACCCCAGGTCTGATGTCCTGCAGATTAAAGCTCCAACTTGCCTCAAAACCTCTTGCAAGAACTTTTTTAGAAAGCTTAGTAAGAGCTTGATTAGCCAGCTGTTTTGTGACTGATTAAGGTTGGAACTAAACTTTGCAGGGCACCGGTAAAAGTTTGGGCACCGGAATTTGGGCACCCCCTGATCTATGCCGTCTAATCATTCTGTAATATAACAATCCTAATATTTTTCTGCCTATTTTCTGAAAGTTTTCTTAACATTGTGTCCATTTAACAGAAATGTTGACCAAATATACAGTTGAAGTCCTCCTGATTTATTAGCCGCCCTGTATATTTTCCCCCAATTTCTGTTTAACAGAAAGATTTTTTTTCTACATATTTCCAAACATAATAGTTTAATAACTAATTTCTAATAACTTTTATCTTTGCCATGATAACAGCACATAATATTTTCAAAATACTAGTATTAAGCTTAAAGTGACATTTAAAGGCTTACGTAGGTGAATTAGGCAAGTTATGGTAATTAGGCAGGCAAGTCGTTTTTAACAGTGGTTTGTTCTGTAGACAGTCCAAAAGAAATATTGCTTAAGGGGGCTAATAATATTGACCTTAAAATGGTTATTAAAAAATTAAAAACTGCTTTTATTTTAGCCAAAATAAAACAAATCAGACTTTCTCCAGAAGAAAATAAAAATATTATAGGAAACACTGTGATAAATTCTTGAATCTGTTAAACATAATTTAGGAAATATTTGACAAAGAAAAAAAATTTACTGTATGCAGTTATTAATTATAAATATTTGTTGTTTTTTTCTTTTACATTACAGTTTAGCAAGGTGTATTAAATGTCCGTACTGGCATCTTTGTTTAACGTCTCTCCACAGGTGAACATTTAAAGATCCATGGCTTTCCAAATCCAGGAAACACGTCCAGTTCCAGTAGAACCTAGAAAAACAGACCCTCTAATAAAATACATCATAGAGAAGAAGCCAGAGAGGCTTCACAGTTTAATCAGAGGCAGAGACAGAGATATTAATGGACTGTACTTTTCTGAGGACTGGAATGATGACGTTACACTATTAACAGCAGCAGTCATATGCAGAAATGAAGAAATCTGCTCTTTATTGCTTAAAAACTCAGCTGATCCAAACAAACAGTCAACAAATGGAAAAAGTCCTCTACATTATGCAGCTTTTACAGCTGGAGTTCCTCTGAGTATTGTGAAAAGATTACTTGCAGCAAAAGCTAACCCAAATGGACATGAATCACAAAAGTGCTCTCCATTGCAGTTTGCTGCCGAACAAGACCGTGAAGACATTGTGAAGGCACTTCTAGAAGCTGGAGCTTCGCCTGAAAGAAACTATGGGTTAAATCCAGAGATTGATAAAAAAGTGGAGAGAATGATTGACCGATTCTCTTCACAGAGCGAAGAGTTTAGGAAAGTACATCTGTTTTTCTCTCTTTTCTGTGCGATTCGAGTGAAAAAGCAAACTGAGGTTTGCAGAATATATCAGGAACATTTCTTTGAGGAGCACCCGTTCATTCATATAATTTTGATTGAGCACTACTCGTTTAACTTAGTTACTTGTGGCTTTGGCGCAAATGCAGAGAAGTATCGTCAGAGCGCCATCGACTGGTTAAAAGACACAAAAAGCAAAGACAGATACATCGAGGGAGTCATCAAGCGCTTCCCAAAACTCCCTAAGGACGAAAACTTGGCGATTGTGCTGAACTGCTTATGCTTTAATTTAATGGATATTGAAAGTGTTTCTCCTCAAGTTGTCAATGAGCCTGTGCCAATTCTAACAGACAGTCTTCAACACTTTGAAAACAACAACGTAGCAACGTGTCTTTTGATACTTAGAATGCTTTATAACCTTATAGAGAAGACATCTGAGCAGAAACTGAGACTGAATCACTCCGTCTATGAGAAGTTAAGCAAAAGTGTATTGCCTTTCACTCAAACTAATGTTTTTTTTATGGTTAGTGTTTGGGCTTATGGACTGTTTGTCTATGTTTATGAGTTTGCTCCTGAACTTGTTGAATTCACCTCAGTCCCGGAGAATGTCATTAATGCTTCATGGTTAGAGATGGATAAATCCTTGAAAACAAAGCTGCAAAAGTTGGATGAATTGCTGAGACGTCGAGCAGATTCAAGTGCAGTGGAGAGTTTATGTGAGGAAACTGCGAATCTATCAACATGCAGGAAGAAGAGGAGGAGGAAGAAAAAAAATATCCAGCAAGAAGTGGGATTTCAAGAAGGCAAGCTGCCATCGAAAGAGGAGACTCTGTTGAAACCCATTGAAAAATCCAACTTTAGTGCAAAACCATTGATACAGCCTGTTGAAAACCCAAATATCTCAAAAGGGTGGCTTCAGAATAGCCATCGATGGAGGAGTAAACTCGAAAAGATAGCTAATATGGGCATTAATGATACTTATAGGCTGGGAAGCCTTACGGTTGTACTTAGAGATGAATTTCTGATTGCCAATGGAAGTGATGGGACTCAAGTTTTCCTTGGATTGAGGGATGACGGCACAGAGGTGGCTGTGAAACGAATGGTTGGGTTTATTTACAGAGTTCTCAAAAATGAGAAGGAATTTCTTCGACTTCCAGAGCTTGACAGTCCGTCCATTGTGCGATATGTGGACTTTGCTGAAGATGCTAATTTTGGATACCTTGTTCTTCAGCTTTGTGAGTACACACTGGAGGAGTATATCCAAGATCATCTACCACAGGACAAAGATGAGAGAACTTTGGTTCTGAAGAAGCTGGTGAAGGAGGTTCTTTGCAGCTTACAGGTTTTACACGACCCACAATTTGAAGTGCTCCATTGCAACATCAAACCCCAGAATGTGCTGATTGGTAAGTACTAATACAACACTTCTGTGTGCATGTAATGATGGTCCACACCAGAATAAAAATTACCTCATCATTGATTTTAAACCTTTATGAGTTTCTTTGTTTGGCTGAACACACAGACAAAAAAAAGATATTTAAAGAATGCTGTTTGCTGATACTCATCAACTTTCATAGTAAATTTACTATAGAAGTCAGTGGGTTAAAGATGCAGTAGGTGATCTGCTATCTAAATGCTAACCGTTAGCATAATATCTTTGAAACACAGTCCCTCCCCTGCCATCCAAAGCTAATCTGTGAATGAAACGGGATCTCTCAAGCTGAAATCATGAACGCTTATCCTATGACAGTAGACAACCCACTAGTTCATGTCATTCACCAGTTAAAAAAACTTTATAGTACTTTACAGTACTACAATTCCCAATGAAAAACTGTATTATATCTAGCATGTTTCAGTTGTGTAGTTAGCAAGCAAAACTTGTTATAATGTGCAACATTTCATGCATGCAACGATCGTTTTTCTCACGTGCTGTCTTAAAGCGACTACCATATGCTTAGTGTTTGGCCGGTGGCGTGCAGGAATTACTCTTATTACTAAGCCATTCTTATATACTATTTTAGACTAAATAAAAAACAGTATAGGGAGCGCATCACAGGTTGTCATTGTTAAAAAATGAACCAATGTGAATATAAAACCAACTTGACCTCAGTAAAGCAGGCTAGGCAGAATAGCACTATTTACTTATGTTTTGTTGTTAAAGTAAAGACCGGGTAAAAACTGGATGGGGGGTGGGGGTCTGTCTTCATGCTGCCCCTAACAAGATGCCACCCTGGGCGATTGCCTATATTGCCCATGCCTAAATCCGCCACTGATAATACAACACAATCAGCTATGCGTGACTAAAATAGTTTAAAACAGAACATTACCTGTCTAACAGAAACACTTCAGCCATGGTGTCGTCTTTCCTCCAGCGTGCAAAACTAAATTCGATATTTATTCAGGATTTAAATTTTTGATTTAGCATTTTATTTTATTGCTGTACCTCTCTTGTGTGCAAGTGAACGCGGCGTGCGCAAATGGCAGATCTGAGTGAACGGCTGCGCAGATTTACAAATCTACATGTGTTGACAGACAGTTTGAGCTACTTATCAGAATTACGGGAATTATTGGCCCAACAAATTTTAACTGGATGAATGAATATTTTTCAGTCTTATGCCTCACCCAGAATATAAAAATACATAGAAATACATTAAGATCATTTACTTTAATCATGACTATTAGAATGTGAAGAGACTTTCAATCTTTCAATACAGTCACCTAATGCACCTTTAAAGCTACCAGCAACAGAACAAAGGAACTCAAATAGGTTTTGAACAAGTGAAGAGTGAGTAAATGATAATTACTTTTTTTATTTTTGGGTGAACTACCCCTTTAAACCTTGTATGTTTGGTTCGTCGAGATAACAATGGTCTTTCCCTGTTTCCCAGACATCAGTGGGAAAGCTAGACTGGCAGATTTTGGCATACGTCAAAGACTGCGAACAAGTATTGCTGGACCTAGATGCTGGAGGGCAAAGGAGACCATAGATGAGGAGGTTAATATTGGGTATATGAAGAGCTCTGATGTTCAGGTAGTGTATTCAGTCCTTTAAATCAATAAACTAATTTAATATTGACCTTAATCTTCATGTAAGAGTGGGCGCAGCCATTTGAACTATGTATATTAGCATGAGACTTCCTGTCTCATTCACAAGCATTTATTGCCGTTTGTTATTCCTAGTCATGTCCCCTATATAGGCAATTTTAGGAAGATTTAAACAGGGCTACTCAAAGTCTGGACTATGGTCTATGGCAGTGGTTCCCAACTTTTTTTTGCCGGAGACCCCCTTTTTCTCCGAAAAATATTGTGAGGCCCCCCTCCACATTTAATGATATTATCGCACATTTAAGTTTGCAGTAATTATGCCAAAAAAATGTTGTTTTCAAACAAACGGTGTGTTTATTACTATATCTAGATATGTTTATGCACAAATTTCCCAGAGATGGGTTGCAGCTGGAAGGGCATCCGCTGCATAAAACGTGCTGGATAAGTTGACGGTTCTTTTCGCTGTGGCGAACCTGGTTTAATAAAGAGACTAAGCTGAAAAGAAAATTAATGAATGAATAAATAATAGCCTAATATAAAATATAAAAGCACAACTTCAGTAGGCCATTCGTAACTGAAAAAAAGTGTAAGGGTTTGGCCTTTAAATTGGCCCTATTTGACATTCAATAACAAAAATATCAGTTTTCACACTGGTGTAACAGGGAAAAAATAATGTAGGCTATAAGAATTACTACTTGCATGTTATTTGTTATGCTTTATCAATTACTGTGAGGATTGCTGAGAGGCGAATCAGTGAGACTCCACTTTTTTGTGGAGGACGGATCACAAATTTGTCTATTTTAATCAGCTAGGGCAGTGGTCCACAACTTTTTCATCACCGCGCACCGGTCAACGCTTGACAATTTTACTGCGGGGGGTTGGGGGTGTTTCGTAGGTTGCTATGCAACCATTAACTGTTTTCTTAGAGGATGACAAGCTGACAAAACATTGCTGTCTCTCTCTGATACAAGTTTTATTTATAGAGAAAAGTACAAAGCACTGCAGTGTTTGTGTGTTCTGTGTTTGTCTGAGAACATTAGTGTTACCAAAATGTGAATAATCTTTACAAGCTGAAGCTGATCGGTCAATTCTTGTCAGAGACTCGCGGTGCACTCGCGGCCTGGGGTTCATTGATGCGAGCTTGTCACGCCACTTGTGCGTGCACACCGCTCACCTCCATTTGAAACAACAAATTATGCAATATGCGAATACACCTTAAAAGGCCGCCGTCATTTGCAATCTCCATCAGTTGATCTTCTTGCACAGCCATGGTGGATTCACCTGGTTTGTTGACAAGTGGGTTGCGGATCTATTCCTTGGCAGTTTGTGGGTCCTTCACTGCGCATTTTCCCCTTAGCAAAGAAACTTTCCAAATATGTCTGTTTCTTACTCATTTTGCTGCTTGTGGGTTAAATTTGGGCACTCAAGTGACCGAGACATAAGCGAGAGAACATGCTCATTATTCAAAATAAAAGACTTTTCAAAATAAAAGGTCGTTCAGACTCAGATAATAAATAAGACGGAAATAATGATTTCTTGTGCGGCCTGCTACCAATTGATCCACGGACCGGGGGACCACTGAGCTAGCGGATAAAATGAACTAAGGCAACATGATCATTCTCCTAACAGTCCACTGCTAAGACTTTTTTTAAATATGACGTGACCCCCCCACAAAGCTCGCTGAGGCCCCCTTGTGGGCCACGACCCCGCTGTTGGGAACCACTGGTCTATGGTCACTCGCGAGAGAAATTTTAAATCTGAAATGGAGTACACAGTGGCCTCTGGTGGATTCACAAAAACAAAAACTCCAAAAAACGTACTTCCTGGGATGTATTTCGCTCTCTTCAAAAATGTGTACAGGGGTACATATACATAATGAGCCTGGGTTGTGTAATTAGCATATTCTTGTGTGTATCGCCTCTTCTTGTTAAATCACTGAATGCCTCCTCAGTTGTAAGTTGCTTTGGACTAAAGCATCTGCTAAATGACTAAATGTAAATATGTATTATGAAGATTTGAACCATTGAATGGAGACTTTGAGAAGCCCTGTCCTGCATCAATTATATGAAAAAGCTTACGTCTGCACTGCAGAATAAGGCCAATAGTTCAAGAAAAATCAAAACCAATAACACCAACTTCTTTTTAAGGTTGCTGGGATGTTAGTGTACTACATTCTCTCTAGAGGACACCATCCATTTGGGAAAGGGATATTTTGTGAAGTCAACATTTTACAAGGAAGATACTCACTGGAGCATCTGGATGATGATGTGGCGAAGGATCTTGTTGAATGGATGATCAATGAAAATCCAAACAACAGACCGACGGTGGAGCAGAGCCTTGCACACCCCTTCTTCTGGACTGACGAAAGGTAAAATTCTCCATTGATTTGCTATTTACTGTTATCAATTTAAGTTTACCAACACATGATGAACTTATGAAATAGTTCCAGTATCTGTAAATTTAGTATTGATTATGGTACTAGCATTGTATGAACTTATGTTAAATAAAGAAACAAACTGCTTTCTGTCTAAACATTCATTTTCAGTTATCTGAATATGTTGTGTTGTTTATTAATTCATATCAGGAGGGTCGAGTATTTAAAAATAATTGGGAACCTGAATGAGGCGGAGAACTGCCGTAAAGTGGACGAGGAGCTTCTTTATGCTGTTGAAAAATTCACTGAGGGAAAAAGCTTTTCTCAATGGAAGACTAAAGTACGTCTAATCTCAATGCTAAAAAAATTAAACAATTATGTAAATATATGATTTATATGAAAATAACTTCAAGTATTAGATATTCCAGATGTCTTCTTCATAGTGTGTGGTGTGCTTTAATCTTGCTTATGAGCAATAATTTGACTTTCTTCTATTCTTGCTTTGTCAGTTTCCGTCTGAACTGGTCCAGAAGCTGGATGGTAAGAAGAAAGGCTATCCTGAGAACACACTGGGCCTGCTGCGCTTTATACGCAACCTACATGAGCATTAGTGAGTTATATGTGATGTGAGGTAAAATATTGGCTTTACTAAAGTGTGTTATTGTGTGTCAGACCCTGTTGTCTCTCTACACAGTCCAGAGGACGCAGAGATCATCAACCTGATGGCTTTATTCCCTGACCTCTTTGGGAGCGTGTTCAGGTTTGCAAAGGATAAAGGATGGCACTCCAGAGCGAGTCTGAAAAAGTTCTTCAGCTCCGTTCAACAGATTTGATCCTTGTTATTTTTGGCTAGAGCAGGTACATTGATCCTGCACTATGAGTGAGTTTAAATGTAGGGTCGATTTAGGATCCTCATCCTTGTCTGGGATGAAATTTATTATTCTCAGGAAATAAAACCATCAAAAAACATTCACACAATATTTCTAAACACAATAATCTGTATACTTTCAGTTGTTGCATTATTATCATGCGCAAAATGTGTAAATATCTGCTACAGCTTCCTTATAGAGGTAATAAATATTCATATCATCTGCCCATAAAAGACTCTCAAAACCTCTTCAGCATCATTGTTAGTACTGAAACACTCTTCTGTGTTGTAATACTTACCATTGTTTGACTTGAAAAAAATCACATTGGTTGTTATTCATGTTCAACATCTACAATAAATTCAACTGTATGTAATCCCTGCTCGGTAGTTTCTGTAGACCAGCCTGCACTTAGTGCATGTCTGAATTACTTTTGCTATTTTAAGGATGGGAAAAATGGTCGGTGTACCCAGAGCATGGTCTGAAAGGGTTGTCCTTATCTCTTATCTTATCTCTTAAAGTCTTTTGGGGTGTTTTGGGTGTAATGTGCATTAAACCAGTCAGAGTCTCGTCTCCCTTTTCGTTTATAAGCCATTTGCTTTAGACTTGCTTTTAGTTGGTCGATTGTGTGGTTTATTCTAGTTGTCTCAAAATAGCAACGTGCCAACAATGCGCTGAAACACAAATGGTACAAATGTTTGATATTTGTATTCAACTTTATTTCCAGACATTTGATCTCGACACAAGTTGTGCATGTGTGGATTTGCTGACAAACTGCATAAAATCATTCTCATAATCCAAATGAACCAAACACAAGCACCTGATCCACACATGTGCAAAGTATGATTCACGTACACAAAACAGAGCAAGTGTATTCCCAAAGACAACTCTGCTTTTACAAAATGCTGCACATTTATTTACATCTGAGTTCAAATGAGACAAGTGTAGTAACATACTACGTATATTTCTCAAATCGGTAGTCAGAAGTGTACACATTAAATAAGAGCGTTGCTGCTTTTCCATGTAAAGTTGTTTTTTTTTTATCCTGAAAAGCTTAAAAACAGAAAAGAAAGACTTAAGAAAAGAAAGTCCCAAAATTCAAATGAACCCAGCATTATAGACTCAAACAAAAAGTCAATTCACACACGCACGTCACCCGATATGCAAATGCAGAACTTCCCTTTGGCACATGTAAATTAAGATGCATTAATGCAAAACATAATATTTGTTTTCACGAACATGTTTATGCACAAACAAACTTTGTGCAAATCTTAAATTCTCAGACTTGGGTTGAAAGCCATTCGTTTGTGAATATAAAAATGCATAAACAACAATAATAGAGTGTGTGGATGACAAAGTGTGCATTCGCTAATAATATTGAGACAATTTTCATCCCATAGTTTTCCACCATGGGGCAGCACGGTGGCACAGTGGTTAGCACAATTGCCTCACAGCAAGAAGGTTGCTGGTTTGAGTTGGGTCAGTTGACATTTCTCCCCATGTTTGCGTGGGTTTTCTTCGGGTGCTCCGGTTTCCCCCACAAGTCCAAAAAACATGCACTACAGGTGAATTGGGTGTGCTAAAAAATGTAGTGTATGGATGTTTCCCAGTAATGGGTTGCAGCTGGAAGGGCATCCGCTGCGTAAAAATCATATGCTGGATAAGTTGGCGATTCATACCGCTGTGATGACCCTAGATTAATAAAATGACTGAGTCAAAAAGAAAATGAATGAGTCGTCCACTGGGAATACACATGAAATTTACATGAGAATGAGGCGTCTGAAGCTTACGGTATGCCTATTTTCATATACTGATTTCTTATGTACTATGCCTTGGTAAACCAAGATTTTCTTTATAGTGCAGCTTTAAGGCCCCCTTGTAGTATAGGGAAAGACAACAGTGACAGTCCCTGCATTGATCCTGTGGGCCAGCCTAATCACCCACCGGTGACCTACTCTGCAGTTCTCCACGCTGGATTTCCAGCGTTCTCCAGCCTCGGACCACCTAGACTGCAGCTCGGTTTTTTCCTTCACTTTCGTCAATTAGTAAAGTTTGTTCCTTGCCGCTATCGCCACTGGCTTGCGTGGTTTGGGACTTGTGGAGCTGCGATCGATGGATTTGCTCTTCAGTGTTTGGGCTTTCAGCAGTGAATATTAAACCACACTGAACTGAACTAAACTGAACTTCAACTCTGAAAACTGGACTACACTTTCATTTTACTAGATGTTAAACTGCTTTGACAATCTACATTCAATCTACATACAATCTACAGCGCTAGAGAAATAAAGATGAATTGAATTGAATAATATTGACCTTATAATAATTTAACTGACGTTATTCTAGATAAATTAAAACAAAAAAAAACTTTCTCCAGATACGAGATATATTATAGGAAATACTGTGAAAAATTCCTTGCTCTTTTAAACATCATTATATATATATATATATATATATATATGATAAAAAAGCAAATAAGCAAAAAAAAAGGTGGGTTCGTGATTAATTCTATAGTTTATAATTAATTTACATGAAAATTCCATTTATAAATGCTCCTTTGAAACTGAACATTGCATATTTATTTGGTGTTTTTGGAGGTAACATCAATTCTATTGCCTTGTGTAATAGTTAGTGCCTCGTGTAGTGTACAGTATTACCAAATAATTTCCTGCTAGCTCAGGTGATCATGTAGAGTAGAATGACCTGTTCTGCCAGGTAAGCTCAGAACAACAAAGACAAGGGGCTGAAGATCGTGGCTGAAGAAAGTCTACTATAGTACAAGTCGGCTAATAAACTCTTGTAAGTAGCCTATTTATTTATGATGTTATTATTATTAATTATTATTTAAGTTAATATAGAGTGCAGTTTCTTGTTTCTAATACTGTTTGTTTTAAATGTTGCTCTGTTTAACAGATGTGTTTTAATTGCTGAATATTATTTTAATGCAAGGAGAACACAGATTTGATCACTAGACCCTTATGCATCTTTTTTTGTAGGCTAGCTCATGATTCACGATATCAACACTGCAGATAGCCAATCTAGACATGCTCTTAATGTCTAAAGACTGGTATACACTAACCTAAAGCCAAACAATGATCCTCTAAGTTTTTCTAAATGATTTTTCCTCCGACTTTCTTTCATCGTAAAATAAACAGTAATATTCCAACACAAAAGTGCACAATAAACAACTAAAATTATGGTGGAATTGGCCAATTGTAGATCTAATATGCTTCTGGTGAGCAGCTTGGCTAATGTAGAAAATGAACTTATTTGGAAATAGTTTTATAAACTGCATGAACTTAATACACTGTAAATTAAAAAGTATTTAATAAAGCCTATATGTGCATAATAATAATAATAATAATAATAATAATAATAATAATAACTGCCTGATTTTCTCAAATTAATGCATTTTATTAATTTAGAAATGTCTTATTTTGTAGTGGGCATTAGAAGTTGTATTAACAGTAACATATGAAAAGTTTAATACAGCTGAAAAAGTAAACATTATGTTTTTATGTTATGTAACAATATGTAAATTTTCTTTATTTTTTAGCACCACCTCTACAGTGTTAAGCCCAGGTCAGGTTAGACTGGATCACTGAAATTAAAAAAAAATACAAAGAAAAAGCAACTAAAAGAAAAATGTGATAGGCTGCAGATGAAAAGAAATGATGGTGGGAAAAGGAAAAGTTGGTCAAACAGAAATTCATGAAAACAAGTTCATATGTACAGTAAATGTGACTATTACAAACCCATCATCACATATTTTTATGCTCTTGCTGGTTAAACATGTCACAATAAAACTACAACAACATATAGTTACTGTAGCTGGAGATAGAAAAAAATATTGTTTAAATTATATTGTCACAGCCATGCCAGGTTCTCCCCTTCATCAGTCACCTTAGTCATCCCGATCACCGACACCTGCATACTGATTAGTCCCACACCTGCACGTCATCATGACCATTACCCCAGCACCATAAAGCATCACTCCAACCCAGCGCCGGAATGGGACTCTTTTTCAGCCCTGGAGTTTCAAGCCTCAGACAGGCCCACCTCAGTTCACGACTGACTATATTAAAATAAAGTCATTCCAATTCAGTTTTTAAATACACTATCACGTCTTTTTTTTTTTTTGAGAAAACAGCTGCTTTAGAACTTCAAATGTTCAACAACCCTAACAGTATTATATGTCTTAACAATAAAAATGAAAAAAAAAAAAAATTTACTCTGACAAGGATCAAACCCGGGTCAGCAGCATCGTAATCTAACATGCTAACCACTGGACCACAACAGCTGATTATTGAGAGGTGGCTCATCTGAGTCAGCATTAACCTGCAGGCTGGTTATATATAAAAAGAGCAGAGCTGCGGTAAAATAATGAATAAGAAGACTGTGGTCAAGTAAATAAATAAATTAATTTAAAAAGTGTGACTGCTGAGAGCAACAGATTCTGGAGCTAGGGACACCGGCCCTCGTGGCCAAAAAACGGACCGGCCCACCGGGAATTCTCCCAGTCCTCCCGATTAGCCAATCGGGGCCTGCTCCAACCTGCACACAGTGTTTGCGTCCAAAACCGTGAACTTCCATACTATATAGTACGCTAAAATCAATATGCAAGCTGAGTAGTGTGTCCGAATTCATAGAATTTAAAAATCAGTATGCGAGAAGTACCCGGATGACTTACTACTTCCGGCGAGATTCTAAAGTGCGGATTCCATTCACGCTGCGCCATCCCATGATGCCTCGTGAGAGAACTCATGAATGGAAGTGAAGCGGCCCAACTGACGCAGGTAGGTCACGTGACCATGACAAAATGGTGGATGTAATACATTGTAGTAAATAGTACATTCATACTATATAGAACGTACTTTTCTAACGGCCGAGTGGTACATTTAAATTCAAATGCAGTACCTACTAAGTAGTGGGCGATTTCGGACGCAGCCAAAGTCCGCCCTCATTGCGAACAAAGGACTACACTCTCCTTCATGTCAGTGACTATGCTTACGCCCCATTCACATGGGGCTTCAGTGTCAAC